TATCATAATAGTTTTATGTTTTTGACTCCTTGAAATCGAATCAAGTGTATTCCTATCTAAGCTTTAACAGTGGCATTTCAAAACTTTCATTTGATACAGATTTATAGCCATTCTAGTTATTAGTATGATTTAGGAGAATATTACAATCTATTTAACTGCATATTATACATATACTAGAGTTGAATATGTACATGATTGTTCTGTCAGCTGTATATGAAACCAGACTTGTAGTTATTAAAATTCTGTAGCTGTGAGGGCACTGCCAACATTAGAATGATCTTTATAATTATGCATTGATCTACAAACTTCATACAATTTATTTCTATTATGTATCAAATCTTGTATTTTGCAGGCTGGTGAATTTACAACACAGAGGAAAGTCACCAATGTGCATAGATGCTGTCTAAAGTGATTATGATGTCATTATTTGATGATTACTTCAATATTCACTCTTTCATTGTAAATGTAGCAACCAATAAATTATGTGACATTAATCAGAAGTCTGTTGTTTTATCTATTGATACTTTATAGGATTATTTGGGACTATTTCGTCTCTTTTTATGCTCCCCAAGCCATAAAAAGGGCCATAACTTCTGACTTGCTGAAGAGTCTCAGCAATGAAATTTTAGTGATATACATGTATGTGGGATAGTAAGGCAATATATATGTTACATACCACTATTTGGTCCCTATGCCTGGAGGTCAAGGTCACATTTAGGTAATAGGTCAAATTCTTTTCAGGGCACTTCTGATTTGATGAAGATAACTCAATATAAATTATATATGCAAGATTGTTAGGCAGTATATTATGTAGTACAAAATGTACATGTACCACTATGGGGTCTGTATAGCCAAGGTCTCATTAAGTTCAAAGGTCAAATAATTCTTACCCTGTATACCTCCAAAGGCAAGTGATGTGCAGAAGGAAGACAAGCTTTGCAAACATACACATTAAAATACTGTTTCCTACATAGGTCAAGGATGTACACCTCTGAGAAGTCAAAAAATACCTGTATTAAACTTTTTTTCTTATGTGGATTTTTGGAAAAAGGAGTTAATGGCATAGTAGTAAATGCCAAAAAAACTATATGTCGGTGTGTTCGTTTTTGTGCTATGATCGGTCAAGATACCATAATCTTTAATATGTGATTTTAGGTGAATTTTTTGGTTTTGACCATTTGCAGAACAAATTCATACAATTTCTTCCAAGTGTGTTATCAGATATGTATGAATGTTTGTTGAATTGATAAAAATATTATTTTCTTTGAAACTATGGAAGTAAAATTTCTTATTCTTATTCATTTTACTCAGAAATGCGATTTTAGTTACCCCTACCTCTTATTTTTTAATGAAAAAATGCACATTTTTCACCATTTTTTGCAGATTAAACGCTTGATTTAAAAAGAAACTGTATTACACTTTTTTTAGTATTCAATGAATCAAAAGAAAATGGGTTTCTCTTTCTAAAACAGCCACAAAAATGGTGGTGGTGGTGGTGGGGGTGGGGGGTCGGTGTGCTTCTTTTTTTGTCCCATTATTATTTGTGTTATTTTTTCACCTTTTTCGGGGTCAAAAATCAAAAGTGCTTCAGTTACCCTAATATGTAAAAAAAAAATCAATGATATTTAACTTTCCATTTTTTGCATATCATTATAAAGTTGTACAGCAAAATTGAACCTGCTACGATTAAAAATGGTGACACAATGACAATTTAAGTGATCAATCTAGTGTCAAAAAGGTGAAATTTTGGCCCTTTGTGAAGCGCAAGAAATTCACATAAATACACTTTTTCAAAATGGCTGCCAAACTGGTAATTTTTTAAAAATTCTTTTAAGAAATGTTCTACACACAACAGACATCTAGGTTTTTTTGACATGTTTTTCAGATGTGTGTTTGCTATTATACCTATCATAATTTGTTAAATATTACAAAAACCTGTTACACCAGATCAAAACGAGACTCGAACGTGACTGAAACCTCAGAAGAGTACATCCTTAACAGGTACATTTTATGTACTGTCAGTAGATCGAGTGAACATCCAGTCCTCGCGTTATTCAATGGTTCAATGGATGTACTATTATGTTTTCTTCGTGTTCGGTGCGGGGTGGGGGTTCGGTGAGGGGGTGGGGGTTAAACCAGGATACCTTATCTCCCATCCCTCCCTTAACTCCTGCCAGCTGTGGAATTTTATTTCAAAATATGTGTCCCCATATTGGGACAGGGGCAATTTCGGCCCCTTTTTGTTAAAGTTGTTCTGAACAATATGTCTTATGTTAAAAAATAACTTGGATTTGAAAGAGTCCACAATATAGGCGGACGGGTCGAGTGGTCAAAGTTAACACTGCGGCCTTCCATGCGGCCGGGGTTCGATCTCCGAAGTCGTCGTACGCATGGATATTCAGAGAAAGTGTTTTTCTCCTGCCTATACAACTCCAACAACCCAGATGGAATATAAATTTGTCTGGGGTGGATTTTGCGGTATCTGTGCTGTAGCATTCAAGCGAGGTGGCACTATAAATGATACCGTTTGAAGCGCGGTCCCGCTATAAACAGACAACATTAGTATACATTTCCAGCACACGCGCAGGCATACACATATGGGGAGATATTAGCCAGGTGGCATATAGCTAGTAGTTATCACCTGATAAGGCAGCTCCTGCGAATTTCTCATTAAAAATTGTACTGAATTAATGTACATGTATATGCTTATTGTATTAATTGTATATCTATGTAATGTAAAGTGCTTTAGAGTGGCTTATTGGGCGCTACATCAAATGTTGTATATATGGATATATATAGATATTCAATGCTTTCATAAAATAACAACAAAAGGGCAAATTAACTTACGTATTTGGAGAATTATTTAACATATTTCACTTGTATAAAACGAATATGTGATAACAACCAAAAAAAACAGCGTTGTGGCAAAATATGTCTTCGTTGCAGTCTCGACTGAGAAGTAATAACTATTATTAAAAAGGGGCAGGGGGCTCAATTGACCCTTTAACCTAGAAAATGGTTGATATTTTATCCAAAATAGTCAAATAGGGACATTGTCAAAAGAAACATATGCAAAAATTGCTGCAATTTTGACAAAAGGTGTGAAGGATCTTTTATGTAAATCGTCTTATGTCCCGGCTTTTCTCTCTCAGAAGATGACGTTATTAACAAATCATTGACATTTGGCCTAAACTTGCGGTTAAAACTAGATATTGAGCGTGAACGGAATATTCTGAACAACACAATTAATGTCATTTACAATTTATATGATTATGATTAAATAGATTCAAGCATGCAGGATTTGTTCCCTCGTGGTTGATGGACTGTCAGTAAGTCATTTTCATAAACAGGTTTGGTGTCCAGCAGCTTTGCTGCATTTTCTTGTTTAATCAGTGATTAATTCTTGTTCAAAATGATCAATTATGTTTGTCCTATTCACTGCCCTACACTATTTGTCCTATTCAGCGCACTATTTCACTATTCAACAATATATGTCCTTTTCACTGTCCTACACTATTTGTCCGAAATGATCACTCTCTGGGTGCGTAGATGTTTCCCACCTTCCGCAGGAAGTCTGATGTTGTGAGGCGGTTGTCCGGATCACCAGAGTCAAGCCGGTCCCACAGGGCAAAGATCTTGCCCTGTACACGCTTGTAGGTGGTGGTCTGGTGGCGAGCCAACAGGTTTTCTCCCACGAGACGCATCTGAAGATTCACTATCTCTCCTTCCTTCTTCATGAGAGGGACCAGGAGGTAGAAGGGGAGGTTCGCTCGACCGGCCTTGCCATTCATCCTGCGGTGCCATCCTGTAAAAAGAAATCATAATGATAAAATTTATCAAACATAGGTACACAAAATACTAATTACATGTAGAATCTATATTTTAAACTGCCAGTGAAATGTATCCATTTTTATTTAAAGTCGTAATGAATTAACATATACGAAGTACATACCTTCGACATCGTTGTTAGTACGAACAGACTGGCGATACACACACCAGTTGGCTGGAGTCCAAACGGAGCTCCGGAACCAGACCCGGTCCAGGTACTCTACCAGCTGTCGCAGCTCTGGAGTTGATGCTAAGGGCATCATCCGAGCAAAGGCTGGCTCGATCTAGGTGGCAGGCAGGAAGGGAAGTGCCAGGAGTTTCCTGATGAAGCAATGAACACCTGAAACACCAATCAGTAGGATACTAATGACGTAACACATAAAGGCGTGACATATATGAAACTCTAGGTGAAACCTATTATTTTGTTGCAACACCAATCATCGTCGTCGTCGTCATATTATACGCACCTTCACGTTTCATATAGGTTGTCCTGAGTCCGAGATTCGCCACCTTCCTCATCACAGCCTGGCACGAGTGGAAAGAACAGCCCCGAAGATCCACTCCTGGAAGGACGGTTCTGACGGCGTTCCAACAGGCGGAAATGAAAAAATAGTTTTATGAGTTACGCCACAATTAGTTTTGACAATTTATTTAATCATAACAAATAACTGTTTCCATGTACGATTCACTGATGTTTAGTGCAACTTTTTATATCCGCTTTTCATCAAACTTACCTGGCTCAAAGTCCATCACTGCTCCCTCCACTGCCGGATCCCCGAGGACCTCCAGGAGTCGACGAAGAACCTATAAAGGAAGAACAGATTAATTAATGGCGAATAAAGCTAATGTCAATAGTTATATGTGGAGTGTTTTTTTGATACTTTATATTTGTCCGCTTTAGCTGATTTGTTTTTATGTTTTGAATTAACAATTTAATCTATATCATTGCATTGTTATAACTTACAGCAACGTAGTCCTGTGCTCGTTGTCGAGACATCAACACGAACACTAGCGGCACCTGCTTCAAACACTCGTCTTTCTGAAGGAATGCATGTATGCTCCATAGTTGAGTGAATGGCTCCTTTCTGATCTTAAAGGTCCCATCCATATACCTTTGAAAAACAAAGTTAAATGATTATAAACAACAAATACACGATTTCAAAGGTAAAAAACAACTTCCACTAAGATATTTAATATTTTAATATATATATTTGGATATAAATGTATCTTGCTTTGCTTTGTAACCTCCCATCGGCGAGCCTGTCTGAGAAGGCTCAACTGGGTCTGAGTGGCGAACATCAGGTGTCGCTGGCCATCCGCACTCACGTCACCGATGACGAAATCTGGACATCCAAGGAACTCCTGATCAACCTGAAGTATAGATTAAACTCATTGTATTATACTGTTTGTAAAAGAATATGTATTAATTATCGTTATGGTGTTCCATTTGAAACTTGATTTCATTATATACTATTTGTCCTTCTACATGTTCGGACACCAGTATTAATAAAATCATAGTTTCGGCCTACATGTACACGAACATACACAATTTGACTTTATCAAACATTATATGACCGCCGACGACATGTGGAGCGGACATATAATATTTAATATAATCAAATATCGACATACGTGTACATGCTTATGAGAAACATGATTTCATTAGATACTCAGTGCCCGTACATGTATTTTGTACGAGCGCTAGTATTAAATGAAACCATATTTCGGCCATAAATGAAATATACATATTTAAAGAAACTTGATTTCATTTCATTATATAATTGTACTTGTAAATGGGCTAAAAATATCTAATGAAATCAAGTTACTTTAATAACGACGAAGAATTTATTCCTTTTACGGCCGAAAGAATTTTCGTATTTTTTATTGAACGAAACCATATTTTCGGCCATAAATGGAAACTATATTTGAATTACATACCAGTATCACATGTCCTGTGTTGCCATCTGCTACATGTGTCGCACTGCAACGCATGCTGCCTCGGCCTCACCACACGGTCACAATGAACACAGTTGTCGCTCATGTTGATTAGGTGCAAAGTGTTGTTCAATTGATGTAAGTCGATTGAAAGTGATTTGTCCAAGAAAATCAGTCATATTTATCGCCATTTGCGTGAGTGATCAATACATTTGATTGGCTACCTGGAGATGAGGCGGTGATGAGGTACTCAAGAGTTAATTATGAGGTACTCAAGAGCTACTCACCTATAACAAAAGTCTGGTAGGTGAACATCATTGTTTATGTAAGGCAATAAAAACAAAACAACAACACCAGTACGTAATTAAATAAATCCTTTAATGTGTTTATTTAAATATAATTCTTATTATAAATGTATAAATCCCATGTATTTAACATATAGATACATAGTAGGGCCGATATTACCTTGGGCCGATATAACCAAATACCGTGTCTAGCAGGTCACGTACGCGTATATATATATAATTACGAGACATAGCTTGATGAAACTGATGACTAGACGCGTGTACGATATATGGTATTTATAGAACATTGATATCTATGTAAAAAGTGTCCCGATTTGGGTACAGATATATAACCCGGAATGTTAAATATTTTGTTAAATGTTTTTAAATATCCGACGTTAAATAAAGTGTATTATTGTATTGTATGTTCCTGGTACGAGTTCTCCGGAAATGGAGCTGTAAGCTTAATTAGTGTGAACCTTCCGGTATTCGAGGTTCAACATTTTCTGTTTGGTAAATATTGTCCTTTTGGCAAATAGTGGTTGATTTACCATGGCAACAAGAGGACGACGTGGGAGACCAGTGTTGAACCCAGGATTTGGAAAAGAAGATACAAAGAATGGATCTACTATACACCCTACAATCCTAAAACAAGCGAGAAAAAGTGGACAGTTGAATCTGTCTGGTCGTAGTCTTGCTACAGGTGAACATTCTGTGATTGAGAGGTCGTCTCTAGCAAAGATCTAAGGAAAGAGGATTAATACCATTAGGCGAACAACCATATGTTAGCAAACTTTTATCATACAACTTTCCCCATATATGTAAAAACGGTGTCTGCTGAAAGTTAATTTATAGGGTAAACTGATCGTGAATCAACATTTTACAACAGCCTGAACGTAAAGGAACCCGATTGGAAGCAATCGGATCTCTCGGGGGTTTACCAATGTCTTTTGCTTTCATACACGAAGAATAGCTTAAAAACAAGTCAAATATATGTAAAACCCCAGCACTGATCACGAGTCGGACACAAACTGACCGTGAGTCGGACAGTTTCTTTTTACTGATTTTATTAGTAGGGTCTCCACCCGTCATGTCAGTGGTCAATGGTCAACGCTCTTATATTGTTCTAATGTCACGGTGTGGTGATCACCCTGACAGTTGGGAGAGGACTATACCATCTATTGGAATTAGGTATATAGGGAAATTGTTTTTTCAAAGGTCTATTTCATGATAGATATACCTGTATTTTCTCTTGTGGTTTCAAGTACCAGGAGCATGCCCAAAAATACATTTTTTTTGTGTGTGTCGTAATATAAAAAATCAACACCTTCCTATACACTTGTAACCTAATGGGGAGCAGGATAGTGATTTTGAAAAGTCATGTGATGCACTTATAAAAATAGAACCAGAAACGCAAATGTCAGGAACCCGCGGTAAACAAATATGGCAGCCGACAGTTAGCGGTAGACTGTGTTATATCAGGCTCAGGGGAAGACTGGCGAAGAAAGAGGCTGTTTAAAGGGCGGAACAGATGCGTTTTCTTATCAAGAAGAACTACGGCACCAGCAACGAAGACGAAGACCACGATTATGTGGCAATTCCACAACACAGTCGTGGCCTACTGTAACCGGTAACGATATTTAGGTCAGTGCGAACCATGGTTTCAGGGACGACGGGTGTTGAGTTGGCAGTGCTATCGGAAAACATGAACTGTGCAAAATGCATGTAATTCATAGCTGAGATTCGTTGACATTGTTGACGACCTTACGGTAGCTGAAAAAATTGGATTCTGAAATATTACAGATTAAATGGTTTATTTAAAATGTTCAATACATATCATAAGTTCTTGGACTATTTATCCTAGTAATTATAACAAAGTGCATTTCAATAAATAAGTTGAATAAAATTCAAGATCTAGCAATTTCATATAATTTTAAGAAATACCGCTGCACAATCAAAGACTAAATTTGAAGCATATTTCTTGTGATTTTGAGTTGGACAATGTGTCCGACTCATTATCATTACGGTTCACTGAGGTGTCTGACTCAATATCCAAATGACATTGTAAATAAATCTTTCATTCCAGAAATATATAGCAACATATTACGTTCCAAACAGACTATTTTTGTTGTTTTGATAAACCATGACCCAAAAGTTCAGTAAAGCAAAACGAAATGTCGTTAATATCCTAAGAAACTAAAATTGAAAAGTTGTTTATCTTAAAATAATAGAGTCAAATTTCAGCATTTTACCATGTGTTTGTATTCTCCCGGTTCGAAGCTTACTATATCAGATACAAAAAGGGATCAGATACAAAAAGGGAGATAACTCGCATAGAGTACATGATTCAAGGATTAGACCAACGGAAAGGAATAAGCCCAGAGATTAATGGAAACGGATCTTGAATCGTTTTTAGCTCACCTGGCACGAAGTGCCAAGTGAGCTTATGCCGTGGCGCGGCGTCCGTCGTCCGTCCGTCCGTCCGTCCGTCCGGCGTCCGGCGTCAATATTTTACTTAAAACGACTTCTTCTTAATAACCAAAAGGCCTAGGGTAAATATAATGATATTTGGCCAGAAGCAAACTAGGATGAAGGGCTACAAAGTTTGTTAAAATTAATGACCTTCACCCATTTTCAAGGTCACAGGGGTCAAATATGTTAAAAACTTTAAACATCTTCTTCTCGATAACCAAACTGTCCAGGGAGGTGTTATTTGGACAGTAGCATGCTTGGGTGAAGGGCTACCAAGTTTGTTCAAATAAATGACCTTCANTGTTAAAATGAATGACCTTCACCCATATTCAAGGTCACAGGGGTCAAATATGTTAAAAACTTTAAACAATTTCTTCTCAATATCCAAAATGCCCAGGGTGATGATATTTAGCCAGTAGCATGCTGGGGTAAAGGGCTATCAAGTTTGTTCAAATAAATGACCTTCACCCATATTCAAGGTCACAGGGGTCAAATATGTTTAAAACTTTAAACAACTTCTTCTCAATAACCAAAATGCCCAGGGTGATGATATTTGGCCAGTAGCATGCTGTGGTAAAGGGCTATCAAGTTTGTTCAAATGAATGACCTTCACCTATATTCAAGGTCACAGGGGTCAAATATGTTCAAAACATTAAACAACTTCTTCTGAATAACCAAAATGCACAGGGTGATGATGTTTGGCCAGTATCATGCTGGGGTAAAGGGCTATCAAGTTTGTTCAAATGAATGACCTTCACCCATATTCAAGGTCATAGGGGTCAAATATGTTAAAAACTTCAAACAACTTCTTCTTAATAACCAAAAATGCCCAGGGTGATGATATTTAGTCAGTGGCATACTAGGATCAAGGGCTACCAAGTTTGTTTAATTGTATGACCTTGAATCATATTCAAGGTCACAAGGAGCAAATATGTTCAAAATATAAAAAAATAAATAAACAACTTGTTCTGAATAACCAAAAGGCTCAGGATGTTGATATTTAGTCAGTAGCATGCTGGGATCAAGGACTACTATGTTTGTTAAAGTGAATGACTTTGACTTATATTGAAGGTCACAGGGGTCAAATATGTTTAAATCTTTTAACGACCTCTTCTGAATAACCATGGGTCCCAGGATGTTGATACTTTGCAAGTTGCATCCTGAGATGAAAGGCTACAAAATTTGTTCAACATAATGACTTTGTTTGACTTTCAATCACAGGGGTGAAATGTTTAAAAAAAAAATAACAGGTTCTTTTGAATGAATTTTAATCATAAATACTGATATTTTATTTTGCTTGTAGCTTTATTTTAGATCACTTTTAAGGTTACAAGTGTGAGATTTATACCAGGTGAGCGATGCAGGCCCATTGGGCCTCTTGTTAAAATGTCTCCGACTTCGCGATCATGTCCTACTCACGATCAGTTTACCCTAACGTCACACGACCACAATTGGTACAATTTTTACAGTTTCCAGTGATATTTAAAAATTCAGATCTTTCATCTGGAAAGTTTCTTGATTTTTGACGAAGAGTACTCAATGTGGTTCATTTACAGAAAAAAACCTGTAAATTTGTTTTTCAAAAAAAGAATGCTAAACTTGCAGTGAGATTTCTTCCGTTTTTCGGCCATGATTGGTAACCATATCACAGGCTAAGAAACTTGTTTTTAACTATTTTTTACTCAAATTGTGATAGGGATGATTGACATCATTATCTCCACTTCATATTTCAACAACAAAACTGAGTACTGTAGGACTCAGGTGACCGTTTAGGCCCATGGGCCTCTTGTCCTTATTTAGCCTTAAGTATCCTTGCTCAAATTGAACACAATTTTGTGTGAATGGTGGGTTTGGCCCTCCTAGGGGCAGAGGGGTGGGGCCCACTTGGGGAAATAGAGTTAAAACCTATAAAATTTACCTGCTACTGTAGGGATTAATGGATTGTAGCCTGGTTTAGTCTGGAGCATCCTAGGTCCAAGGGGACTCAATTTTGTATAAACTGTGGTTGTGGCCCTCCTGGGGGAAGAGGAGCGGGGCCCAATGGGGGAAATAGTGGTAAACCTTTTAAAATCCTTCTTTTACCATAGGGAATAAGGAGTTTTATCCTTATTTAGTCTGAAGCATCTTTTGTCCAAGGGCTCTCAATTTTGTATAAACAGTGGGTGTGGCCCTCCTGGGAGCAGAGGGTTTGGTCCGAATGGGAAAATATAGTTAAACTTTCAAAATCCTTCTTCTACCGTATTTCATTCCAATTTGGTCTGGTGCATCCTTGGGCCAAGGGGACTCAATTTTTAGCTCACCTGCCCAAAGGGCAATTGAGCTTATGTCATGGTGCGGTGTCCGTCGTCCATCCGTCTTCCATCAACTTTTCCTTTAAATGACTTCTTCTGAAGAATGGACAAGCCTAGAGTCATGATATTTGGCTGAAAGCTTCGTTGGTAAGAGCCAAACATAGTTTAAGAATGAAAATGACCTTGACCTACTTTCAAGGTGGCAGCAGTTAAATATGTCAAATGCTTCAAGTTACTTTTTCTGAAGAACTGAAAGATATATAATCTTAATATTTGTCTGGCAGCTTCCTGGGAAAGAGCCTGACATATTTTGATAACAAAAACGACCTTGACCTACTTTCAAGGTCACAGAGTTCAAATATCTCGAACACATCAAACAACTTTTTCTGAATAATGGACAGGCCTAGAGTCATGATATTTGGCTGAAAGCTTTATTTGTAAGAGTCTGACACTTCATATTTCGTAAGAGTCTCCATTTCATATTTCAACAACAAAAATGAGTACTGTAGGACTCAGGTGACCATTTAGGCCCATGGGCCTCTTGTCCTTATTTAGCCTTGAGTATCCTTGGTCAAAGGGGACACAATTTTGTGTGAATGGTGGGTTTGGCCCTCCTAGGGGCAGAGGGGTGGGGCCCACTTGGGGAAATAGAGTTAAAACCTATAAAATGTATCTCCTACTGTAGGGATTAATGGATTGTAGCCTTGTTTAGTCTGGAGCATCCTAGGTCCAAGGGGACTCAATTTTGTATAAACTGTGGATGTGGCCCTCCTGGGGGAAGAGGAGCGGGGCCCAATGGGGGAAATAGAGATAAACTTTCAAAATCCTTTTTTTACCATAGGGAATAAGGAGTTTTATCCTTATTTAGTCTGAAGCATCCTTTGTCAAAGGGCTCTCAATTTTGTATAAACGGTGGGTGTGGCCCTCCTGGGGGCGGAGG